CGTTGCTTGGTGGGAGAGATGGGGAGGCCAGGCTAGATGGTAAACTGTCTGTACTCAACCATAGGCCTGGCGGAACATCTCTGTCTTACAGGCCCTGCAGAACTGTTTTAAGTCCCACAGAGCACAGATGTTATTAGGCAAAGAGTTTCACCAAGCTAGTGCCAGGGCCGAAAAAACTCTGGCTCTGATTGAGGACAGCTGGATATCCTTCAGGCCAGGGATCACCAGGAGGTTCTTATCTCCAGAATGTAGTGCTCCTCGAGGGGTAATGTGGAGCTCTAATGGAATAATAGCAGAACAAGTGCTGAAGAAGACATCCAAAATTATTAACTCAAACCACCCTGTAAAATAACCCCTCTGGAGAGCCACTGCCACTCTGAGTAGACCCCAGGGGAGGGGGGGAGAAGCTTGCAATGCTCAGCTATTTCATGTTCTTCCTGTGGGTCCTGGGCTCAGACCATTTATATTTGTAGTTTATATTGGGGGGGGGAGGTTTGGGATGAGCCAAGTTTAAAATATAGGGTTCTGCAAACTCAATGGACTCCAGTTTTGCAGAGAAATGTTAGTTTTAACACACACACCCTCCTAATGTGAGGGTCCAATGGAATAGCTGCTATAATATCTTTAATTGTGTTTGTTTGTATCCTTTATAAAGTTTATATCTCCCCCACTGGCATTACATTTTATGACACACATGGCCTGGCTCGACAAAGTCCAATTTATGTCAAATTCGGCCCTCATAACAAATGGTTTAGGGCCTTGAAAGTCAGTACCAAAACCTTTAACCTGATCGAGTACTCAAATTGGAGCCAGTGCAGCTGGTGAAGCACTGGTCAAATATGTGCTGTCGATAGGGTCCTGGTAAGGATCCGTGCCACCACATTTTGGACAACTTGTAATTTCCAGATCGGGCTCAAGCGTAGCCCTGCACAGAGTGTGTTACAGTAGTCTAGCCTGGAGGTCACTGTTCTGTGGATTACTGTGGCTAAATCAGGGTGAGACAGGAAAGGGGCTAGTCGCCTGATCTGGTGCAGCTGGTGGAATGCCAGTCTGTCAATATTTGTGACCTGGGCCTCCATAGATAGGCATCCAGGAACACACCCAGGCTCCTGGTGGTTGGTACAAGTGTTAGAGGTACACCGTCAAGAGCTGGGAGTTGGCTCCCCAATCCCGTAACCCCCCACCCAGCCAACAGAACCTACCTCTTTGAAAGATTCAGTTTCAGCCAGTTCTGCTTCAACCACCCAGCTATGGCTTCCAAACCTTTTGCCAAAACAGATGGGGCGGTATCCGGTTGGCTGTCCATCAACAGATAAAGCTGGGTGTCATCAGCATATTGGTAACAACCCAGCCCAAAACTCCATGCCAGCTGGGCAAAGATGTTATAGATGTTAAATAACACTGGAGAGAGGATCACCCCTTGAGGGACCCCACACACTAGGGTGTGTTGAGGCGATACCTTTTCTCCTAGTACCACCCTCAGCCCCCAACCTGGAAACTGGTAACTCTGTGCAGATTTAGCCCTGTGAACTGTTTTCTCCTTTAAAAATCTGGTCTGTTATCCATCATGTGAACAATGACTTTGCAGCTAATGTTGTTGATCAAGCATGTTTTTAAACTTAGTGCTCTGCAAGGATGGGAGAGGAGGTAATACCTAGCAGGAACCTTTCTCCTGTGCCTGAGTGCAGCTCACTCCTCCCATTTACTAAATGCCATCACTCAGGCCACAAACAAATGAAACAGCAGCCAGCTGTCCTATAGCGCCTTGACTGAGACATCATTAAACTATGTTTCAGTTTGGACATTCATATGTTTTTAAGTACTGTAAGCTGCTTTGGGAGCCAACTGTTTGGTTGAAAAGCGGGGTAAATATTTATTTTTATTTTATTTCATTAAATTTATGGATCACCCACCCTGCAAACAGGCTCCTCCTCCTCCTCCTCGGTTCGGGCCAAGACCAAAAACACCCTGGCCCTAGTCAAGGACAGTCGGGCCTCCTTAGGGCTGGGGATCACCAGCAAGTTAGCCAATCTCAGCATTCTTTTGGCAACATATTGGAGGAGATGGTCCCAAAGGTAACTGGGTCCCTGACTGCTCAAGGCCTTAAAAGTCAACACTAACATCCTGAACCTGACTCGGTACTCTATGGCTAACCAGTGTAGCTGGCACAGCAGAGATCGTATGTGTGCTGTCCATGGCATACCCACCAGGACTCACGCTGCTGCATCCAAACCCGCCGCCCCTACTATACCACTACCGCCATGGGTTGGTTGAGGCCCTGAGGAAACATCTGCAACATCTGAATGGAAGAAGCCCTAAGCCGTCTACTTGGAACTCCGGACCAGCGAACCGTCATCTCTGGACTATGGAAGTCACTGAGGACCTTGTTTTAAATTAGGATTTTAAGATGTATTATGTTTTAATCTATTATATATATTATGTTTTATTATGACGAGGTCTGCCTTGCCTCTGTAAGCCGCCCTGAGCCCTTTGGGGAGGGCAGGGTATAAATATAAATAAATAAATAAATGGGGGGATAGTGTCATGCCTGCCCCTGCTGATGTCATGCCTGCCTTTGCTGATGCCCCTGAACAGGCTCCTGAGGACCCTGAACAGGCTCCTGAGGACAGTACTGCAGCAGAAAGGCAAAGACTGGATCCTGTAGCTGAAAGCTATCTAAGTGGTGAGGAGGATAGAGCCTCCCAGGGAACACCTGCAAGGGATCAGTCTCTGCTGCAGCCCAGTAATTCATCATCAGACTCGCCTCCACCTGTAACCAGGCTCAGGAATGTAAGAAGACAACAGCTGAGAGAGCGAAGGCAGAATGCACGCATGCGTGCCAGAAGATCTCTTAGCCCTGATTACTGACAGGATCCTGTCCTCACTCCTGGCTAGCTAATGAGTTGATTAGCTAGCACTGTATATATGCAAGTCTGTTGCCAGCAGTCATTTGTGCTGGCAACGTCGTTTGTTCAGGACCTGAATCCTTGCATCTCTGCTCCAGACCTTGTGGAATTCTTCTCGGCTTGATCCTTGGCTTTTGACCTTTGGCTTTGTTGACCCTGCGTTCATCTCTGACTCCTCTGGTATTGTTGTGATTTATGGACTTGAAACTTTGGTATGTCTGACCCTGCTTTTGGACTGTGATTTAAACCTGCTTGAACCTTGCTACCTGGTTTGCCCGGCTTGACCTCGGACTGTTCCTGGACTTTTGCTTGCTTGTGTCACGCCCCCTGGTCCTGCCGTGACATAGGTTGGGGCACAACAGGAAAGGGGCCAGCAGCCATACTTGGCACAGATGGTAAAACACCAATCTTGCAGTATTTGTGACTGCACCTCCATGGTCAAGGATGTGTCCAGACTCACACTTAAACTCCTAATGGAGCGTGTTAGTATTAATGACGCCCCGTCAAGAGTCAGGAGCCAGAACCTCAACCCCGAAGCTCCCCCCGCCACAGAACCTCCATCTTCCCCAGGTTCAGTCTCAGCCTGCTCTTCCTCAGCCACCCCACCACAGCCTCCAAACCCTCAGCCTGATGTTGTGGGGTAGCATCCAGGTGGCCATCCAAGAGCAGATAGAGCTGAATGTCATCCGCATGCTGGTGACACCCAAGCCTGAAACTCCGAGCCAGTTGGGCAAGGGAGCACATACAGATGTTAAACAACATCAGGGAAAGGACTGCCCCCTGAGGAACTCCACATAACAGTGGGTACCTAGGGGACATCTCTCCCATCAGCACTACCCTTTGTTCCTGACCATGGAGAAATGAGAAAGGCCACTGCAGGGCTACCCCATGAATCCCCATATTGGTGAGGCAGTGGGACAAAAGATCACAATCAACCACGTCAAACATTGCTGTGAGATCAAGTAACAACAGCAGCGCTGACCTGCCTCGATCCAGCTACCTACAGAGATAATCTGTTAGGGCAACCAACTCCATCTCATGGCCTGAGCGGAAGCTGGACTCCCATGACTTGAGCGGAAGCTGGACTGGAATGGATCCAGTGCCAACGTGTCATCCAGGAACTCTGGAGCTGTTTGGGTACCACTCTCTCAATTATCTTGTACAGGAACGGTAATAAACAAATTTCTTTGTAAATAAAATGCTTAAATACCGTGTTTCCCCGAAAATAAGACACTGTCTTATATTTATTTTTTCTCAAGAAAGCACACTAGGGCTTATACCACAAATGCATAGAAATCCTGCTAGGGCTTATTTTTGGGGTAGGGCTTATTTTCGGGAAAACAGGGTAGAGTATACAGTATTTGTTTCTTAAAGCCTTTACTCAACAGTATATCTAAGGTGACAAACTGGATTTCTTCTTAAGGACAAGCACCTTGACAATGCTATGGGTTAAACCATAAATTATCTAGAATGCAGATCAAAATAATGCATCTTTCCTATACTCTGAATAAACAAAAGGAAAAAACCCTGAAACCCCTTTGGAAATTCAAGCTGCTGGTTGATTTTTTGATATATTCATGTTATATAAACCATGTATTGAACAGCCTCTTTGAGCATAATTTTGATTCACAGACAGGCAGTAGTTTCTTAGCTACTTTTTCCACAGAGGATGCTGGATCAATGTTTCTCAGTGTAAAGATTATATATGACACAGAGACAGTTGGTGGCTGTAAATCAAGCCATGTGATACCTTTTATCAAGACCAACCAAAATAACATAACATTCCATACAAGCGCTGATGCAGAAATCCTACTTCCAACTGGTGGCACTTGGAGATTTCCCACTATTACAATTGGTCTCCAGACAACCAAGATCACTTCATCTGGAGCAAATAGTTGCTTTAGAGGGTGGACTCTATGGCATTATACCCTGCTGAAGTCCCATCCGTCCCCAAACCCCACCCCCCATTCCCCAAATATCCAGGTATTTCCCAACCTAAACTTGGCAACCCTACCTCTTTCAGACTCAAATAGGACACATCAAAGGACATAATGTGACAATTCTGAATTTGTAGATATTACTAAATGCACTAACCTGTGTTTCTGGGAAGAAAACCGGGTTTAGGTTTCAAAGAGACAGGAAACATGTACTCATTTTCTTCTTTTTTTGGAAGAAGAGAACTTTCTGGGGTTGGGACCTCCTTTGAAGAAGCACTGAGTTGAAGAAGGGCATTTTGGGCTTTCTTTTTTTCCTTCTTTAACATATTTACTAAAATATCTAAAATTCATTATAAGGAAAATGTGAGCAGGTTTTGGAGATCTAGTATAGTACTACAAACTCTACAACACCCCCACCCCAGGTCTGCTACTTATACAGAACAGAAAGAAAGATTATTCATTTTGTATCAATAATTATTTACTTACTTAGATCAGCATGGGCTTTGTTTTCTTCATGGGTCAGTGCAGGTGGTGGTCAATTTGTTTGCTGAAAGAGTACACATTACTTAGTGTACAACTGAGTTCATGGGACATTGTGAGTGCTTTGGGAAAACTGGGAATTCTTAGTAGGCACATAGTAGATACATCTGTATGCCTGTGGATTTTATTATGTATTTGAAATATTACATCCCACCCTTCTAATGGGTTGGAGCCAGCTAACAACAAATGTGTGGTGCAGTATTAACCACATTGAGCTGGCCATGAAAGTCACTGGATGAAGTTGGGCCTGTCATTCTCTCTCAGCATCACCTACCTCACAGGTTAGTTGTGAGATTAAAAGGCCAGAAGCCAGAACCATGTGTGCTGCCTTTAGCTCCCTGGAGAAAGGGTGGGATAAAAACATACTAAATATACAAATTAAATCAAGTCTAAACATGAAAAAAACAAAAATACTAGCATTAAAAATTCTGTCTATTATAAAACAACTATACAATCACCACATCAGTTTTAAGACTGCACTGACATTACAATTTACTAGTCACTGGACTCATAATTAACATTTCAATTCATTGGTTCAACTAGGATTAGCTAAATTTTACAAGTTTTCTTATGACGGAAGGGATCTGAAACATAGCATAAACAAAGCTGTTCCACAAAGCGGCCACAGAAAAGCCCGGTTTTTGACCTGGGTCAGCCAGATTGCCCTTGATGAACAGATGGATAAGAGACTGGTAGGCTGCTTTAAGTATTCAAATAGGTTTATATGTTCCTCAGATGAAGGTTAGAAGATTCTACTTTAGCTGGCTCTGTCTGCATACAAATCTCTTTTTTTTTTAAATTGTATGCCTAATTCTCAACTTAACTCCAGTGTGTGGACCAAAAAAAACCCCATGCAGTGGGTAAGAAGCCCCAATTTTGAAGACAGATCTGAAATCTAAAAATCACCAAAATATTTTGGGCTTCAACCACCCCCCCATCACAGAAACAATGTCTGCAATGTTAAGAAAAGAATCTTTTCAACATCATGAGATCTCAGTGACCATTTGGAAAATTGTTAGAGAACTGCAAATGATATTGCTGAGTCTTTCATGCCTCACTCAGTGTCAGTAAACAGGAAGGGAAGAGAGACTTGAGAATGGTGAGAGGGAGAGAATGAAGCAAGGAAGCACACTAAGAGGAGAGAAGAAGGGATGGATGGGAAAGATGAAGACAGGGGGCAGAAAAAGGCAGGTAGGTAGATGGGAGAAAGAGAAGAAAGCAGGTAAAGGGGAAAGACTGCAGGTGCTGCCAAGGGATGGACTGAAGAAAAGTGGAGATATGGTAAGGAGGCGAATGAAGAGAATAAGGTCCTTCCCCCTGAACTCTTACAGAACCCCTGCTTTTAAACAGATAATGTATTTTCAAACCATGAATGCAAAATAACCTTAAAACAAACATTGAAGAGCAGAGATCTTTAGAATTCTAAATTGTGTCAGATACCATGCTCTACATTTGCATAGCATGTACAGCTTGTCTAACACACAGAACACACAGTAAGAAAAACAGCAGTTAATGTTATAAAAATTGAATTATTCTGTAACATTTCTGTTAGCTCAAAACTATTAGGTTTTCCTCTCCAGCACACATATAGATTGGAGTTATCTCATCCGTTTCTATCACATCAAAATAATTTTGCACCATGCCAAAGCTGCAGCTATGTTTTCTGTGGGTAAATAGAATGGGAGCAAAACACATTTTGTATACATTGTATGGAGCCTCAGGTTGAATACAAATTTATATTTAATTTAAATACGAAGTCCAGTAGTCCCCAAAGCAGCATTTCACTTGGCTAAAAATAACAATTACAGGAAATTCAACTTTTTGAAAGGTAATAAATATTTCTTTATATAGTATCACTTTTTTCCATTACTTAAAAAGGCACCTGCTTGACATTAGGTTTCCAGAAACTTTGGATCGGAGATAGAACTCAGCCAAGCAACAAAGATTTTTACATTCAGGAGATTGAACCAGCATGTTACAGATAATAGCAAACGTTGGATCCACATTCCTCTAAGTTAAACTATGCAGGGAAGAAGTCCTTTAATTTGTCAAGCAACACAATGACATTTCCAAATTAAATGAAATCTTAATGTGTTGTCTTTCAGAAAGGATACTGATTTCATTGTCTCGTTGCTGCAGAAGATTCTTTAGCTTCTTTAACTCTTCTGTCCCAAATGAGCTGTTAGCAACTTTGTCTTCAGGAATGTCTGAGGCAAGCAAAGCATTCTCACAGGGCTTTGCATTAAGAAGTCTCTATTAAAAAGGGGGGAAACAATTCTGGGCTCTTATAATTTAATGGTCATGCTGTTAGTATTCTTCCATTTCTTTGTCTTTTCAATAGAGGTAAATTTCTTTAGCCTAACCAATATTACCATTGTGGACTACTACAGTTAGCTCATGATGGTGCTCTCTCCTGCTACTTGTCACTTTTTCACCTAATGCCTTCTTTCTCTCTTTTGTTTGACCTTTTGTTTGCCTAATGGTTTTCACTTCAAATTAAATTTCCTCATCCTCATATTCAAACTGCTCTATGCGACCCCACGGACCACACCACACAGGGCCCTCCTGTCTGCCGCTGTCCTCCGGAGTCTGCTTAATTTCATGTTTCTTGCATCAATAACACAGCCTAACCATCTCATCCTTTGCCATCCCCTTCTTCTTTTACCTTCAATCTTTTCCAGCATCAGGGTCTTCTCCAGTGAGTGCTCCCTTCTCATTTGGTGGCCAAAGTATTTGATCTCATTCTTTACTTAATTCTCTCTTCTTTCAAAACCTTTCCTCACTTTCGCCTTTTACCTAGTCCCAAATTCACTTATTCGCTAATCCCATCTACTCTGTTTTGCCAAGCTCCCATCTTTTTCAAACTCTCTCTCAAAAGGTATGTCATCTGGAAGATTTTTGCTGAACCAGCATAGTGTCCTTATGGAACTTCCACTAAACTTTCCTCAACTTCATCCCCACTATGTCTTTATGAAGCTCTTCCTCCCCTTTCACCTTTGTTCTGTCTTTATTTTATTTATTTATTTATTTATTATTCAAATTTATATCCCGCCCTCCCCAATGAGTTCAGGGTGGCTAACAATAGGGGCACAATGCCATAATAAAACAGTTAAAAGCAGAATAAAACAATACAAAATTACAATAAAGTACTGGTGCTCTGATTTAAGCAATATAGGCAGACAGTGTCCTCTTTATTCTGTGCAATAGTTACCACACTGCTGATGGCAAAAGACATTCAACAGAGATTAGATATTATTAATTTATATGGTGATATTCAGTAGTAATATAGACATTTTAAAAAACACACATAAGAACATAAAAAGAGCCCGGCTGGATCCTGTCTCACACAGTGGCCAACCAGTTCCTCTGGTGGACTAACAACAGGGCATAGAAGCTGAGTCCTTCCCTTGATCTTGCCTGCTGGCACTGGTACTCATTTACTGCATCTGAACATGGAGGTTTCCTTTAGTCACCATGACTGTGATCACACACGTCTTTAGATCTGACATAGGTGCGAATGCCTGACAGATCTAAAGGGAGCGATCAGACAGCAACATCTGGGAAGCATCCCGCATTCATCAGCAACCCATGCTGCTCCGCCACAGAAATGAAGTTAAAAGACACCACGAAAAGCCCGGCTCTAATGGGTTCCAAGGAGTCACAGACAGACCTTCCCCTGTCTGATCACGCAAGCACGCTCTCATGCTGTCGGGATGGTCTGATCATGTCATCCCGTCTCCATAGGGGGGCCCTTAGTGAGCAGGTGCAATTCCTCATTTATGCACATGGGAAACAAATGGCCCAAAAACCCTGACTCAGCTGCAGCTACAAAGCGAGGTGTGATCTCACAACTGTGTGCCAGTTTGGTGTAGTGGTTAAGTGTGCGGGCTCTAATCTGGGAAAACCGGGTTTGATTCCCCACTCCTCCACTTGCACCTGCTGGATGACCTTGGGGAAGCCGTAGTTCTGATAAGAGCTGTCCTTGAAAAAGAGCAGTTTCTGTCAGAGCTCTCTCAGTCCCACCTACCTCACAGGGTGTCTGTTGTGGGGAGGGGAAGGGAAAGGAGTTTGTAAACCACTCTGAGACTTCTTTAGGTAGTGAAGGGCAGGGTATAAATCCAATCTCTTCTCTTCTTCTTCTCTGGAGGAAATAGCCTCACTTCCCCTCGGCTTCAACTGGTGCGTGTGACTGCAGCTCATGTCTAGTAGCTACTGATAGACCTATCCTCCATGAATCTGTCTAATCCCCCTTTAAAGCTCTCTATGCCGTAGCCATCACTATATCCTCTGGCAGCTAGTTAATACTATTTGTGGAACACTTCCCAGATATAAAAATGGAGAAAACATAAGACAACCATCACATTTTCTTGATTACACTATCCAAACCAGAAATATTTTCCTTCTACTTGTCAAAAAGTACTTGGTGCTTCAACCATTTAATTTAATACGGTTCTAATATAGAACCTGCATTTCCTACTCACCTCTCCCTTAGTACAGTTTAGTAAAACAAAAATACATAATATGTTATTATCAAGTTAAGAACCCCTCCCCACCTTGCGGCAAACAGTAGTAAATGAAGTGTACCTTTAAATGGCTGAAACAATAGTTGATCTTCCGCATATCAGCACCAACATCCAATGTGCTTTCAGCATCTGTATCTTCCAAAAAACATTTAATCTTCCCATCAACCCTAAATAAATATAACAACAGAAGAAGAAGAAGAAGAGATTGGATTTATACCCCACCCTTCACTACCTAAAGGAGTCTCAGAGTGGCTTACAAACGCCACCCCCTTCCCCTCCCCACAACAGACACCCAGTGAGGTAGGTGGGGCTGAGAGAGCTCTGACAGAAACTGCTCTTTTTCGAGAACAGCTGTGCCAGAACTATGGCTTGCCCAAGGTCATCCAGCAGGTGCAAGTGGAGGAGTGGGGAATCAAACCCGGTTCTCCCAGATTAGAGTCTGCGCACTTAACCACTACACCAAACTGGCTCTTAATAAAGAGAGAATAAATATGTTTATTGAGAATTGAGTACTTTATGTTATGTACTGGAAATCCACATTTCAAGTTAATGTATATCCTTACATATATTTTCAGTGCAACAGATTTGATATCCACATATTTTCTTTTCTTTTGCATCATCATCATTAATAACAATAGAGAGTAAGTAGCTTCAAACTGTTTCTAATCTTCTTGATTGTTTACATTACCTATAGTTTTTGCACTCTCTCAAATGAGAAAAACAAGAGACTTGCCTTTACAACTGCAAAAAGGAGTACAAACATACTATAGGTACACTTGTGGAAAAAAACTAGATGGTATAAGAGTAAAAAAAAGATTTAATACAAAACACAATGATTCAAGGATATCAGCAACTACCATACTACAGGAATAAGTACAAAATACATGGACAAAACTGTAACAAAGTATTCAGTCAATAGCAAATGGGCAAATGCACCTCAAATGGCAAGTAACACATCCGATGTTACATATACAGCTGATGATACAATAGTAAAAATGGATGACGATAGCTAGCTGTAATCCAGTTTGAAACTAGTCTTCTTCAGAACTCTTCCAAGTTGTTTGTAGACTCTTGTCTGCTTACTCAGAGACCTTGCGTCATCATGGCAATTACTGAATTCGTACAAAGGCAGCCATTTTCAGCTACTCACCTTTACTATATCAGGTATGGGTTAGCAAAAAATCAAACTGTATGTTGTATTTAACATGTGACTTGCCACATGAAGTACATTTGTTTATTGTGCTATTGACTTGAATGCATTGCAGAGTAGTAGTTATTGTGTTGGATTAAAATCTAAGAGAACTGGGTATAGACCAGGCCTCTCATAGTTCCTCCTTGCCTCATTTATCCTCACACCAACCCTGGGAGGTAGATTAGGTTGAGAGAGAAAGTGATTGGCCCAGTGTTATTGATGCATTTGACAATGACAGGAAGTTAAACTCTCTACTGTTGAAAGACCTTTGGGGGGATGGACGTAGGGTGCAAATCTGATGTTTTAGAACAATGGTCTTCAAACTTTCCTGGTTCAGAACACACCTTGAAGAAAAAGAAGAAGAGATTGGATTTATACCCCGCCCTTCACTTGGAGTCTCAGAGCGGCTTACAAACTCCTTTCCCTTCCCCTCCCCACAACAGACACCCTGTGAGGTGGGTGGGGCTGAGAGAACTCTGACACAAACTGCTCTTTCAGGAACAGCTGTGCCGGAGCTTGTGACTGACCCAAGGTCACATCAGCAGCTGCAAGTGGAGGAGTGGGGAATCAAACTCGGTTCTCCCAGGTTAGGTCTGCACACTTAACCACTACACCAAACTGGCTCTCCCCAGGCAGCAGCATGTTACAAGCATGTGGCAGAAATCACATGACATCACAGTGACAAGAAGAACCTGCCTGAATTTTTTAAAAAAGAAATCTCTCTACCAGAAATGTGGGCAAAGGTGTCTGCAAAACTAGGCAGGGGGTGTGGTGCCCTTGCTTCCTAAGCATGCATATTAGGGTACTTCGAAAATATAGCAAAAATAATAATAACAATAACAGCCCTTAGAACTGATGGTCCCATATGTTTAATATTAGGTGAAAAGGTATGTATTGTAGCTCACTGGAAACAAGTAGAAGATGCTCATAACACGTATAGTAAAGTTTATAAACTGGAGTCTATAAATAAGTTAATTAATAATATTAGTAGTCAACTAAAATATTTCTATAAATAAAAATACCGTATCTGAAACTATAAATGCAACCTAAGCTAGCATTAGTAGCCTCCTGTACATTTGGGGCCATAATGGAAATATGTTAAACTCCCCTTCCAGCGAATGCTATTTCATACTCTATGTATCTTCCACTAAACAGGTCAGTTATTATGTGGTGTTCTAGCCTTTTTATTTTTTATTTTTTTATTTTAAGGTTTCCTTAAAAGACGTTGGTACCACTTAGAAGGTAATTAAGGGAACAAAAGAAAGCAAAATACTGCATATCCAAGATATTAGGGTGTGGTTTTTTAAAAATCCCAACTTGAGAAAACTCTTGTTCTATAATAATATATCCTTTTTTGTTGCAGCCATTGTTAAAGAAGCTGTTAACTATTTAATATTTAATATAAATAATATTAATATTTAAGTGATTAGACACTTTCCCATGTCTGATCACTCCAGTGCACTCTCATGGCATCAGGATGGTCTGATCAGGCCATCCTGACTCCGTGCCATTGTTTTTTCCCCCTTTGCAGTATGCTCATCACCGCAAACTCCACAGGGAGCCCTCGGTGCGGAGGTGCGATTCATCAATCCCTTGGTTAAGCGCATGGGGGTGAAACGGACCACACAAGAAAGAGTCA